AATCAAAAGATTAAATCTCACTTTAACTACTAGCCTTCTTACAAAAAATTTAAAATGAAATTGGGAGAATTAAGAAATACTTATTATCTTTAAATAGGTGGGGTCAGTTGAGATGTTCTAAGGTAATTTTTAATTCTAAGAAGTTTAGAAAAACTGCTGCAGAATGCCTCCTTATACCTACCTGTCCAGATCCCGCTGGCTTTGTGAGGCCAGTCCACACCCTTGGACCAGAGACTGTTGCAGCCCTGGAGAGGGCCTATGCCTTCTTCTGCCAGCATGACTAGCCCCCTAGTTTTACTAGATCTATACAGAAGCTTCAATGCTAAAACCAGAACAGTCTAGGGTCATTGCTACCTAATCCTCATCTTCCCCCCTACAGTGACCCTCCCACATGGCTGTCTCCAGTGAGTACTTTTCTTGCTTGGAGTTAGCTGCTGAGCCTCCAAGAACTGTTTGCAAGTCTCCCCCTTTCACTGCTTGCATACAATATGTAAACCACTGCCCATCATCAGTTCAGGAAGCCAATGGAGGGCAAGTGAGGCACTATGGGGCCAGGTGATTGTAATTCCACTTAATGGGATGGGGGAAGTTATACAGAGGGGCTACCACCTCACCCTTCTCTTCCTGTCATCCTGGCCAGCGTGAGCTGTGCCAGAGGTTTTATCCTGTACGTGACTAGCTTCCTCAGCCCTTGTGGGTGGGTTGTTGCAAAACTCAAATTGTCATGGTGGTGGTGTTGTGGGTTTGCTTATGAGATGAGCTCTTTTTCACTAGCTCCTTCCTGAAGATGCTCAGCTCTATCTCTCAAACTCTAAAGAGATGGCAGCCCCCAAAAGCCTTTCCTGGCCCGAGTGAGATGGCCTAGTTCTTCCTGTCACTGTCAGAGCCCTCCTTTTCCTAAGAGGGACTCTCCTTAACTCCAAGGCTTTTCTTTCTAAGAAAAATGTGTCCTTCATTCAGGGATCCTGAGTGAAGCTTTTGATACTTTGCCCAAAGAGCCACAATTGGAAGGACATGACTGGGTATGTGAGGACCTAACCTCATAAGGAATAATGAGACAAGGTCTGGTCACCATAAAAAGCCACACTGGGAAAAGACAACAGGCAGGGATGCCTCAAAGTATCTGACTTTGAAGCCCGGAAAAGCTGGGCAGGGCATTAGGTAGATACAGTAAGCCCTGCAGCAAAGCTACACTAAGTCAAGGTGGCCTGGCTGTAACAGCACCAAAAACACAAAGGGAAAGTAGCAGGAGATGTCAAAGGCTGGCATGAGCCCCTATGGTAGGTTGAGTGACAGACATCTGTCATCTTCAGACTGATCCACTCCTGCCCAAAGAGGGCAGCAGCTGCTGTAGCAAGGACCCTGTACACGGCACCATCTTCTCCATGCCACACCATCCAACAGCTCAAATAGCTTGGGGCTTCTCACACCTGCTCTGTTATCTCCTGAGCAACAGTTTGAATGCTTAACCCACCTGAGCTCAGAACCATACAGGCAGAACTGAGATAGGTGAGAATCTTTCCATGGGCTTTTCCTGAAGTTCAAGCCTCCAGTTCCTTCTCCAGCCAGTGAATGACAAAAGTGGATTAGGGACCTTAGGCCTTCCAACCATTAAGACTGGACCTGGTGCTCTTGAAGTGACAGGCCATCAGGAAACCTATATGAACTTATCTCCCCAATTCATTACAGGAGCAATGCTGCCTATTGTCCATTGCAGTACCAGCTGGGTACGGAATTTAGCAAGCACAAGCTGTAAAGCTAGCTTTTCTTCAAGCTCAATAAAGGTCAGGCTTCCCCCGAAACATTTAAATTATAGTAGAACACCAGACTCTTTTACTAACTCAGCAGGATTTCAATGTCCTTTGTCAACTGTGATGCTTCTGTTGTCAGCATTTGCGTTACCAAGAAGTGACCCTGATATCTCAGTGTTCCATAGATGCATTCCTCCACTTCCATCTTGTTTTCTTGTACATTTGGTAGAGAACAAGCACATTACTTCTACCTTTAGGAGAGAGTGTCAAATCAGAATTTTCCCGTAATATGGGGTAAAGAGATCTACACTTACTTCTGGTCAGCCTGCCGACTGAACTCACTGCTGCCAGGAGCTAAGTGAGTTAAGTCACGGCATGACTTTCCTGACCTGTAAACCTGGGCCTACTTACCTGCCCTCAAGCTAAACTGACCTCACCTGAGAGATGAGAGTAGATAACCTTTCCTGAGACCAGATCACTTTAGTGTGCCTAATTTTTGGAGGACACCATCTGGAACAAGTTCTGTGGGTACAGCAGTGGGTAACCAGCTAGAAGTGAGATGCTAACTCAACTGCTAGAGCCAGCCTCTGTGTGTTGCTACAGACAACCAGCAGGTGCAGCTTCCCCCAGATGCAGATGATGTCTGCAGGAAACTCAGGACTAGGAAAAGCCTCTGAACATTCATCCCAGACAGCAAGTTAACAAAGTGGTGTACACCCTCATTCTTACTTTCCTACCTTAAATATGACATACAGTACTTAAATTTGTGGTCTGCAGGATACTGCAAAGTAACTCAAGGGCTTGGAAGAAGCCACTAAAGTTCCCTGTGCTGGTCAAATCCTGGCCCTGTATTCTGATTTCTATAGTCTATTGTGATTTCCATTATGCTGAGAAGTCATCTTTAGGGTTTTTGCTGTCAGCCATTCTCAACAGTATGAGGACCTAGGCAGCAGGTGAAAATTTGTAATTATAGGTGAAGTAACAGTATACAGACTCCTTAAAGCTTTATTCTGCTTCACATGTTAGGTCAGCATTAGAAGTGTCATGTGCAGCATTCAGTACACAGTGAGTTAGTTTATATTAGCAGCATCAATAATCTTACATTGTTCTTGGCTGCCCCACATTCCCACCCTTGCCACAGTCAGATGTTGTGTGAGTGGTGATATACAGAGGCCACTTGTTGAGTACGAGGTGTGTGGCTGGGAGGCTGGCCTCATTGGGGAGCTGCTGCAAGCCATCTGGGTGCCATCCTATAAGGAGCCAGTGGGCTCAGGTGGTGCTTGTGTTTGAATCAGGAGGCAACAAATCTCCAGAGGACATGCTTATTCCTGCAGGGAAACAAACAAAGGTTTTAACTGCTCATTCCAAAGGCAGACGGTGCTGGCTCAGATGGAAAGAAATCTGCAAATTCTGTATCCTGAGATGAGACTTGAAGTGTCCTTCCCCATGGAGGGGACAACATTGGAGTGTAAGTTAACAGTGAAAAGTCTTGAACATCAGACCTTGTGTCAGATAGTTAAGGATACTTAGGACATCCCACCTGAGGGCTTGCAAAAAACATAGTAGGTGCATAGCTAGGCGAAGGATAGCATGACCCCAGTCTCCACCCTAAACTGTGCCGGCCACTTTAAGGTAACTTCTTCCATCTTCAGAACCACGTCTGATGGCAGGCATTAGGGGTACAAAATCTAGTCATTGCTTCTTAGAAGGTTCTGATGCTTTCAAATTAAAACCCAAACTGAAGCTAAATGAATGATAGCAAACAACTTTGTGCTGAAGCTGTCTCTTTACAATTGGCTCAGGTCTCCATACCTTTAGATTTACCTCAAATCATTTGGCCCAACTGCTTCTCAATGCCTCCCCTGTCATATGGCCCACATCTGGTCTGGATGTTTAAAAAACATACTAAAAGTATATTCTAAGACACTCACAGGCCCTTTAGAGTTATGTTTTCTGGCTTATGATCCTGGGTTTTAGTCAACTCTATCAGCAAATACAGATTCCAGAGCCAGTGATTTAGCTCAGTGGCACCAAGCCTGCCTCCCAAACATGAGGTTGTGAGTTCAATCCCCAGTACAAAAAAAAAAAAGGATTCCATTTGTGAAAAGAACATTCATAATGAATGCAAATGGTAAAGTCACTAAAGCTTGGAACAAGAGTTCCTGTGCTAAGTGGTAGTCATGGTCTGGAAGTTTAGCAGCATGTGATGGAACATGAACCTGCACACAGGTTGAAGCTCCGGTCTAGTGGAGAACTCTAAGAAAAGATCCCTATCTCAGGCCAAGGGCCTGGACACACCTCCAGATAGGAGTATCCTTCTTCCCCTGATTTGCAGATAGGGAAACCAGTTAGGGTTAGCACTGGTAACTAAGTGTGACACGGAATGGTAGATGCTGAACTTGAAGTTTTACAGGAGTTATTCTTGCTGATCCTAAGCTCCATTTGTTGAGCCATGTGAGCATGGCATGGCCATCAACCAGATCCTGCTGTTAGTCATGTTCCCATCTAATGAGGTGGATTGGGGTTAGAAAAAAAAAGTTTCTGGTAATAGTTGGGTCCCATCCTCTTCCTTAGAGATGTTCTTGTATGGGAAAATCTAGATGACATGAGAATTAGAATTTTCCAAATGCACAAAACCTAACATGGCACAAGTATAAAGCCATAAGTACTGAATAAGGAAGTCAGAGGTGGGGCTAATTGTACCTTAGTGCTGGTACATAGTCCGGGTAACTGTCATCTTGAACTAGAGACTGGACTCCAGGACTTCCAGACCCTGAATGAAAGGTCTGTACTTTAGCTGTTGTAGCAAAAATCAATGTCGTTGAGACAAAGTCAGGTAAAAGTATGGAAAGTTGGGGCACATGAAATGCTTGTTAAAGCTGTGCCCCTGAAAGATACATTCAGTTAACATGTACTATAAGTTAACAGGGTTCCTATGAGTATTAAGCCTGGGACAGGTGACATGAGAGAATTCTCGTGTGGCTGGATCAGCACCCTATGTTCTTGGGAAAGGGGTGGTCCAGATGCTGCCCTGATGACAGGTTATATAAAACAAGGGCAGAGAGATGTCCTAGAGATCCAGGTCTCAAGCACTCTTTTCTCTCCCTGCCTGCTTCCCCCCAATGGACTTAGTCAAGTCAGTGAGGGATGTTTAGAGAACAAGAATTCCAGAATCACCATCCCTTAAGCACAGGGTCAGTGTGCCAAACAATGATTAGGAGGATCTCAGTGATATGAAACTAGTCTGAGGACCTCAGGTCAGTTATGGATGTACCAAAGGTAGCCTCCCAGAAGCAGTAGCCCCTGCCCATAGCTTCCTGAAGTAGAACCATAGGGACTGCTGGTTTGTCTGATTTAAACTTGTCAAAGCATTCATCTCTATCCTGTATACAAGAATCAGTTGGTAAAGAGCTTTCACCTCTTAGCCTGCATTTGGTAGACCAATATCTCCTGATGAGCCTCCTCTCACCAATGAGTAGGAAGCATACCAATGTCACCTGAATACGGTGGTAAGTGTGTTCCTAAGCCATCTTGGGTAACACATGCTCATTGACTCTGGGGAAAAAAATGGGTTTATACCCTGAGGGTCATTTTCATGGTGTCAAAATTGATCACCTGCCCAGTAGATCTCTGATCATAAGACAGCTGTGAAAACGGGGATTTCACAACCAAGGTGTCATTCTAAATGCATCAGAGTGCCTTTGCCATGGATGAGGGGTAAGGAGAGTGATTTTAAAAGAACAGAATGAGTTTTAAGTTCTCTGACTTCCTCATTTCTGGAGCGGGGAGTCTCTAAATGAGAGCTGTTAGTTGAGATTAGAGTACAAAATTCCTCAGACCATAATTAGCAAAACCAAACTGCCCGTGGCCACATGGTCTGGGGGATAAATAAGCTCAGAGAACCAGCACACTTTTCCTCTTGCAAGTCCCGAGTCAGAGTGGATCTCAGCGCTAGAGGGATGGACCAGGAAAGTGACCAGATTAGCATGCCAAAGCTCAGTGTCAGGAGCAGAGAAGAAAAAGCCCTAAATATGGTAAGTTGAGGATAACAAGATTAAGAACTTAATTGAAAGAAGTTGGACTCACCAGTTTTTATTTTCTCCACTGCCCTGCTCCATGGGTGGCAAAAAGTATAACTCTTTGACTTCTATAAAGGACCATAGATAGCTTTAAGTTTTTTCCTTTATTTTTGGGAAGAGGACAGAGGGGAATAATATGAACATGAAAGGTTGGGTAACCTGAAGAAGCTAAAGTGGTTTGTATAGCTTCTCTGGTGTGAGAAACTGAAAGTGTAAATAAGGATCAAAATGTATAATAGATAATGTGAAATAGGAAGAAAAGGTCAAAAGAGGTAGAGGGACTGGGAGGGGTAGCAGAAAGGAAAAAATATGAGAAAAGGAAAAATAGAAACAAAATCCTTGTAAATAGGAAGGGGTGGAAGGGTTGAAGGGAGGGCAGGGGATTAGGAAAAATATAAGAACCAAGATACATCATGTAAAGGTACAAATTCCAAATGATGAATGTCATTGTATTGTATACCTAAAATACACCAATAAACTCAATGGAAAAAAAATAAAAATGTAACATTATCATCTAAGGATTTAAAATTCTGTGGCAGTAAATAAGGAACTAAAAAAGTCTCTAAGACTCTTGTTTTGACCTTGTAGGTTAGTCCAAATAATGTTGACCCCATGTCACTAATAAACTGAATGTATCTTTTTTGTCTCCTGTTTCAGAATTGAGAACCAGATCCTTATCTGAAATCAGGAATACTAGGAGTGTGACAGATGTATCTTTTGTCGTATATGAACTTATCACAGTTAGGATTTCAGGTAATATGACAGGGCAGGGCTGCCGCATTGTTCCCAGCACTCAAGTCCTAGAGTCTATGTTCTTTCCTATGAAATGAGGACACCTCTACACAAGTGGTCCTCACCATTTTCAGTGATGAACCTGGGATGTGTCTAAGTTCAACCAGGATCCTCAAGCCTTTGAGGTCTCCAGTGTAGAGTTTCTCCCTTTGGAACACTTCAAAGGCACGAAGCCTTGCAACCTGAAATCCAAGGGCCCAGATAAGTCTTGACTCTGTAAGATCTCTCCTTTCCTTACTAATACTTACCTGGATGCTCCCTCTGCTGCCTCTGGAAACCCAGGTCTGTGGCCCTTTCTGTTTCTGTCCTTCCCTTGTGTGAGTAAGCCTGGGGGAATCTATCCAAAACTGCCAATAGGATTTCTGGTCACCCAGGATACTGTATGCCTGAAGTCCTCTGGCTGCCCGCTAGAGTCTGGCTCACTGGGTTGGATGAACATGCAATCACTGGCCTCCACACCTGAGAGTTTAGGAAATCTGCCAGGCTATTCTTCCCTTATTTCCCCCTCATGTTTCCTCCAGGGTGACTTCTCAGTTGTTTAAGGCCTGTTGGAGTCCATATCGTTCTCCTGTGTTTTCTCTGCTCCGGAGAAGGAATCTTCTATCCACTCTGCATCATTCCTTCCCCATCTCATAGAATATTTCACCTGACAGTCTCATCTTATCTCAGGAGCAGGATCTCCAACGTGATAATCTCCCTGGTTAGCCATTTATCCACTGGTAGTTATGACATGGCTCATCTATAGGACTTCTTCAGGTCACGGGGTCTAAACTCATGTAGTTTGAATTCCCCCACCCCCACAGTAGATTCCAAATTGTCATAAATGTAACACGACAGTCAGGTCTGAGGGATTTGATGGAGGATGTACCACCTGGCCAGGAGGTCTGTGCATGCCTGGCCACTCTGTTTCTATTCCCATTGCTGCAAGCTGCTCTCTGGCTATTTCTCATGACTCTAGCTAAGCATGTTTTGTATCCCATAACCTATGGCTTCAAATAATGCCTATGTTCTGCATCCCTTTTTTCCATCTGTACCCCTAGTGCAGCCCTGCTGAGCTCAAACCACCAGCTTCAAATACCTGCCACCAGTCCCTTTTTATATCTCCCATACGTGCGATGCTGGTGGTTATAACAGAATTTATCACCTCTCCTAAACCAGGGGAGCTGACAAGCATCACTCTGCAAATCCATCTCTCTCTGCTGTTTAGACATAGAGTAAATATGGTTCTTTATCTTAGCTCCCCAGTGTCATTCCACTGATGGTTTTGTTGCTGTTTCAGGGATTTAAGCACCTATGTCACAGTCAACAGGAACTGGATGAAATGCTGTTTCCTCTTTGGAGTCTTAATCAGGTAATGATGCCACGACCCACATGTAGGTGCAGCATTTACTTGGGTAAGCAATTATAACTCCACATCCTTTAACCAGCATTCATCATGAGACCTGAAAATCCAGCTGGCTGAGGCAACTGAGAGCAGGATAATCATTCTGAAGACTTGCATGAAGCCTCTCATTGTGCATTACACATGAGTAAGTGACTGAAAGGAGTGGAGTCCAAGGTATATCTGCCTCTTAAGCCTCTCTGGACAACATGGCTCTGGAGAGGTGCAGTGTGAGATACCAGAAAAATATGCCAGATGAACAGCTTTGGCAAGCGTCATCTTCACCCATGATACTGATGCTCTGGGATGACAAAAGTTTTCTTGATACATCAAATTTTTGGTTACAACGTATTTAGGTAAAGGCTGGGTATACACAAAGGAAATACACATATCAATGAAGTAAGGTGCTTAAATGAAAACTCAGATTTCGTTGGGACATGAATCCTTATATCCCCAAACTAGTGCTGCAGTATACCTGCTCTAACAATACCAGAAATCCCACAGTGAACCTCTCTGTACAGTCATTCTGACAGGTATGGGAAGCTCAGGGATCCATATCATTGGCTGGAAATGAAGTCAAGCCTAATGCATGTTCTTAGTGATGGGTCTTCAGTCATTCTCTAGGACCTATGCAGAAAATCCCCAGTTTCTGGGAATTAGGGTAGTGTGGTGGCCCAGCCATCACATCACGAACATGTCTGAGTTGGGGAGTGAGGATTGAGAAAGGAAAGAACACTCAAGCCTGAGTGGAAACCAAGAGAAGTCTGATTTATTTCACAGAAACAGCTCCTTTTAAAGGCTCACATCAACAGGAAGCTTTTAAGGGCACACAACAACAGGAAGCACCAAGCAATTGTTTTTATCTTTATGTAAAGACCGGATTTCCTAACTCTTACAGGTAACATCAGATCTTCGGCTAAAGAGTTCCTGTTATCCCGGGGTCAAAGAATAAAACAAGCTTAACAAACAGTGTCCTTGAAAAGTAACAAATGTTACATAGATTGTGTCGATGCCTTAATTGTACAGGAAGAAGTTATTTTCCAAATGTCAAACTCCAGTGGGCCATGACTGGGCCCCCACAGGGTAGCACATTTGAGGGTAGATTTTCCAAGTTAGGAATGCTTGGAAATTCAACAGCTTGTGAACCTGTCTTTCTTAGTGTCATTTAACTAGTAGTCTGAATTAGATTGTGGGAACATTAAAGTGAACATACCCATGAAACCTTGGTCGAGGAAGGTGTGGACTCTGACCAGCAACCCACATGCTTTCCTTCACCTCCCTAGGCTTTCAACCAAGTTACAACTGATCAACCCTAACAGGTAAGAAAAATAGTGATTTGCATCTTAATATAGTGGCTCCATTTACATATTATCTTTCTTCTCTGGTGTGTAAGACTTATGCATGTAGATGGATCTGCTCATCTGTCTGATTTGTATTCTGTCTTACAAACACATTTCAGCTCACCATCCTAACACTGAAAAATACTTAGGAGGCAGCTTCAGTACTGTTAACACTAATTCTGTCCTGACATGCTTGGGTGCAGCAACAGGTGTACATACATGCTTTCTGTTTGTATGCACCTTTCAGTAAAATGTTTTCCATTGTTTTTTGGCTTTGGGAGACACACCACAGTCCTGCAAAGAATATGCCATTGACATTACTGATGTGAGGTCTGCTGTTGCTCAACATACTGGCCAGGGCTTAGAAATCTGTCTTTCATTCAGACCTTCTCATGGCTCCCATGGCAGTATTTTCTATTAGTGTTTGGAATGCTTAAAGATTCATTCGACCATAAGTAATTTTCTATTTATATATTGATGAAACATATATAAGGTGTTGTCAACATGATGCATGCCACCTCATGATCAGACTTCCCACATATTGCTACTTTGTTTGCTAGGTTAGAACAGAGCAGTCACTATGGTTATGAGCTAGGAATGCTTCTAGGGAGGTTGTAAGTAAGTGAAACATTCATGTTCTCAAGCTACAGTTCTATCCCCCTATCCCTCTAGAGCGTGGATCCCATTGGGTAAATGTCTTAGTTACTTTCCTCATTGCCAGGACAAAATACCCCAAAACCCACCACTTAACAGAGAAGTTTAAGTTGGCTCACCTTTCATTCCATGGTTGGCTGGCCCCAAGGTAGGATGGCATTGCAGAGGGGCATGTCAGAGGCATGATGCTGACCTCACAGTATCTAGAAAGCAGAAAACTTCAAGGGAGGAGCTGAGACTGGAGATACAACCTTCCAAGTCAGGACCACAGTGATCCACCTATTCCACACTTCCTAATAGAGCTATAATCCTCCTATAAAAGAATCATCTTCCAAAGGTCCTGCTGTGATTGCATAAGTCTTTGGGGGCATATATACATATAAACCAGGAAGGTGCACTTTTCTTTAAGTAGGTAAGGACATGGTGGATCACTTCATCTAGTCCGCCCATAAGTCAATCAATTATTTACTCTGAATGTTTGGGGAGCCTGCTACCTCACTTATCAGATGCTATACCTACAAATGGAGAACAAAATTCAACCAATGTTAATTTGAATAACACTCAGGTGGATAAAAGGAGACCCATGCTGAGATCACCAACGGAAGGACCAACATGATCTTGGGATGGAGCACATTTAGTATGAGTTTCAGCAAGGAGTGCAGGAGGTTTTCAAACTGAGATTAACTTGCTTTTCACTGACACATGTTTACCTGATAGTCTGCATAATAATGTTGGGACACATTTTTGTAATTAATTATACTTGACAGAAAATTTTCATCTGGGTGCTGATACTCAATGGTAACAAAAAGATCATGAAAATCAAAACTTGGAGTAAAGAACTAAGCCACTGTGCTAGGTCATGAGGCTTCTCAAACCATGTGGCTTAACTCCTATGACCCTGAGTCCCTGAAATCAAGGAGGTTAAGGGCAGCCAGTTCTTCCATGGGATTTCTCCACCACAGGATAAATCACTGAGGACTCAGAGTTCTCTGCAGTGCTCCTGTCACCTCAAGTTGACCCTCTTCATACAGCATCTCAATAGACTCCAGCTGAAGGGGAAGTCCCTCCTATGACACCAAGTAACACTGTCTCTCAAGGCAAGGACTCCCACACATATTCAGATCTGAAGAATAGCACCTCAGAAGTCATTTTGGCTAAGGGGGGATAAGGCACCTGGGCATCACAGAACACAGTCCTGTTGGGACTGCCAATGACCATAAACAATAATAGAGGGTGAGATTGGGCCACTGTGAATGAAATAGTTGTGGACATTGAATTTCCTATGAAGTTGGGAGAGAATCCCTTTGCCCAGCAATCGTGGAGGAGAAGCCCCTCTGCTCCTATTTGCTATATATCTTGTTACATTCTGAATCAATGTCCACTTTCTAATGGACAACTTAAATATGAGGGCGGGGTAGGCAGAGAATGAGACTATGTCTCCTCAACTCTCATTCTGTATTCAAAAATCCCAGTGCATTTGGCTCATTCCTGCTGTACATGAAATAGAGAAGAACATCTGACTGTGGTTCTTCAATAACACATCGGTTTCATTTCTCTGAAATCCAGGTGACAAAGTAGGGGTCATATTTCTCCAAAGGAGAACCGAGAGAAGCTGGAACATAGACACCTGTCTAACCCATAGCAAATAAACAGGGGAAACTCCTACCTCCTAAGAAATGCATAAGAATGATGGGCACTTTCTGCATGAGTTTAATGCTGAATAGAGGTGGTAGGTGCCAGGACACTCAGAGTGGGGTGAGTTTCTGCATCCTTTAGGCTCCACCAAGGTGACCTGGTTTCCTGTCAGTATGGGGTATTGGGCTGCAGGACTGGTTGCAGCAAAATGCCTCAGCTGTTGGAGACTGAAGGAGCATATTACACCTGCATTGCTCTCCCATTACTCTCACATTACTGGTGAGAGCCAGTTACATCTTTCATGAGTGAAGTTCTCCATTGGTCCACAGGGACCACCCTCCTGGATCAGAGATCTGACCTCAAAAGTCCAGGAAGGCCTCTAGCTGAGAGGAATAAGTGTGAGAAATCAGCTGGGTAATACAGAAGTTCTGCTCCTCTAGAACAACTAGTAGCTGGAAACTCCCTCAAGATCTGTTTCAGGGATTTCTGTTCATTCTCCCCATCTTCATCCTGTTCCCAATGTACATGCTGGCCCTGCAGCAGTTTTCCATGTGGTCTGATTCTTGATCTTGCCAAAGGGCAGGTTCACCTGAGACTAGTTGGAAAGAGAAAGGGATGTCATTGCATGTTATTTTGGCTTCTTCTCTCCCTCAGAAGTCACCTCCAGCTGGCAGTATCCCTCAGTGGAAGTTGCTGGAAGTCAAAGCATCATCTCAAAATCTTCCATCATCCATCTCTCTATGCATTTCCTAACCACTAACTCTCCAATTCTAGTAATTCAGCTCCTGTTCTGGCTCTGGATTGGGATTGTTAACTCTGGACCTGTGATGCTCCAAATGACCTTAAACCATCAATTGCATGGGAACTAGCTTTCTACACACACACACACACACTCCAGGTACACCCTCAAGCAAAAGAGTCCTGGGGAGCTGGCAATCTTGTTTGCACAAGCTCTTCAGGAGATTCTGATACCCACTAAAGACCCAGCCCCTGCTCTGAACAATAGCCCTCCCCACCAGGTGGCATCCCTGTGGGGCCCATCTACTTCCTTCCCTCCACAGAGATTCTCCCTCTGAATTCCCTCCTTGAGCACAGGAAGCCTTGGTCCCTGTGTGGAGCTTATTTAATGCCTCAGTGGAGCCATGGAGCTTTAGTTGTGTGTTCGCAACAGAGCACTACTATGTAATGTGGACTACAAGGAAGAATAGACACTTTAAGCTTTGGGAATAGGCCTTGCAAAGAGAGTAGCTTCAGATTAAGTGTTTTCTATATTCTCCATTCTGACTAAGGCAGCTTGGGAATTATAGATACAGTACACAGGAGGAGCTGATATCAAAAGGTCAGACTTGGAGACAAGGAAGCCCGGGGTAGAATTACAGGTGTCAGAACCTTCTATGTTGTATTCAGACCTGGGCAGTTTCTTTAACTTCTAAAATATGATCCCCTAATATCAACTTTTCTGCATATAAAAGTTATATCTCTGTTCCATTTTTGTTGCTATTAATGAGATAAATTTAATTTTAGAACCTGTAAAATACGATTTGGAATGTCTAGTCAAATCCTAGTTGGCTATTTAGTCTCATAACTCTTATCATGCATAATGAGTGGCTAATAACAAGTCCTTTGGATGACTGACTTGGGCACATCCTAAGGATAGGAGACCACTGGGTTACTATAGTTACCGCCCCAGACTTCAAACCTGATGCTATAAACAGCCTCCTGGGCCTTAAACTATGGGGCTCCAACTAGTGGAAAATATAGGCAAACAAATGAGTGACTTCTCCTTAGAAAATGTGAAGAGGGTTAGCTTGGCCTTTCCCCAAAATTCTGTGATTGGAATTTGGCAACTTGAGAGTCAGATACCATGAGTTTCCAAAAATAAAGACAAATTGGAGAAATGCTGTCTCTCAGGGCAGCACTGCTTACCCCAAAGCCAAGGGTGTTAGATGAAGGAAGTAGAGCTCAGCAAAAGGTGCAGGTGCTATCGCTGCTGTTCTTGCTGGTCATGTCCACCTGGTCATCCAGCTGTGATCTGCCCAGTCATCCATGTGATAATTCTAAACTGAATGGATTCTGTGCAGTGTGATTTTATGATGTAGGACATCACATGATACTCAGCTGTGACAGCTCACCCACTGAGCATTCCCATGCTTTGGGTGATCCATTTTTAGGTGTTTGTGGCTGCCAGGAGCTTGTTTCCAATGCAGCATATTTGCTGGTAGGAGGAAATACAGCTCTCCTCTTCCTGAAAAGTAGACTCTGGATATCTACTTGGAGGAATTCCTGGAGATCCACATATGAACTATTTTTGTCATATATTCTTCTCCAGTTATATCTACTGAGACTGAATCCACATGGTGTGCAGTTTATGTCATGGTCCACACAGGAAGCAAAGGAGTCACCTGCTCTGTGGCCAGGTCAATAATGGCAGCTCTAAGAATGATTTCCATGTATGATGGGAAATTTTAGACTATATCTTGGGCTTCTGGGTGTTCTAAGACTGATTCCTATTGAAAGCTTCCATTTTATAGCATAGCATCAACCTGATAAAAAGCGGTGATTGACACATCAAGAACATGTTTAAATTTTTTTTAATAAGTACAGTAAAAACACATTACCATTAAATTCCCCTCAATAGTCCACCTCATGTTAAATAGTTTCTGAAGCAGCTCTGGAATTGTGTGATCAAAGATTTGGAGAATACAGCTGCCCGGGGCCATCCCTGCTTCTGCCTGATCTTGCTCTGTTTGCTTTCTGCTGCCTCTGCCTACTCTGCCATGCCACACTGCCTTGGATCCAGCTGACTGTGGACTGAAACCTCTACAAACTGTGAGTCATGATGAACCTCTCCTCCTTTAACTTTGGGTGCTGGGTACTTTGGCTCAGCAATGAGAAAAGTAGCTAAGACAATGACCATGAAGTAAAACATTTTGAATCAATGTAGAACACTGAGGCAGCCATGAAAGGGCAACTAAAGACACTTACAAAAATGACTTCCAGAACTGTGTCAGAAAGTGGCGATAATAAAAGGATAAGTGTGTTAGAAGGAAGAGGGAGCATTCTGAAAGGAATTCATAGCAGTGTGTCCCATACTTTCATAAATTTTATATACCCACTGTATTTTTGATTGCAGTAGACAATCTATCCATAGCCTAGGACAATGTTGCTATTTGTGAACCTGCTGTTTCTGTAGTGCTATTCTGTCCAACCCCACCTATGAAGAAGAAAAATGGATAAACTACAGTCAAATGATTCCTCCATGACTAGCAAAAGGATGACTTGAATTCCTTAAGGACCACAGGTGGCTTTAGTCCAATCTTTCTCTGGGGAGTGGTAGGGTCATTAGTATTGATGTGAAATGTTAGAAACCATGAAGAACACAAAAGCAGTGAGGGGTGTGTGTGTGTGTGTGTGTGTGTGTGTGTGTGTGTGTGTGTTGGGTGTTCTTGAAAGGTTTGAAATTCTTTCGTCAGTGACTGGGGTTGCAAAATGCCTCCAAAATTTCTCTTGTGACCCTGAAGTTCAGTCTTGGCAAAGAACAATGACCCCACTTATTCCAATATACACTGAACGCATCTATTTTCTCCCTTCCAGAATAGAGGACCCAAAACCTGATCTGAAATCCTGAGAAAGAGCAGGTAAGTGAAGAAGCCCTTTGTGCTAGGTAACCAGACTTTAGTGAGGATTGGAGTGACACTCTGAAAGAGTAGGGCTGTCACCTTGTTCCTGACCCTGGATCCTTGTATCTTTTATCTGAAACTGAGCCCTGTGACAGGCCACAAATGCCTACCAGGCATCTAATAAAAAAGGCTTACAGTTGGAAGCAGGCATATTTTGCAGCTCAGAAGCATCTCTCGATAACTTGAGAATCATTCCCAAAAATATAATCATCAAAAGAATAAGACCTGTGACTCCAGGACCCAATGGGAAGATGGAATCCTAACTCTGGTAACAGCCACCAACAAGAGGGCTGGCTTAATCTCATGTATGCTATCCACCCCTTTAAACTTTCTCTTTGACTCTATGGATTCTTGACTCCCACTCCTTTTAGAATATGCAAAGTAGAATAGAACACTTTCCCCTACTATACACATTCTTAAATTCCCAGAACCAATGGTAGTATAAGATGGTATACAGAAGATGCCTCCACAGGTACCTTGCATCCAACAAAGACCCAGGAATGTCACTGGGCAGCACCAGAAGAAATGACTTTGCCTCCTGTGCAAGCTGGCTTGTGTGTGTTTCCAGCCCAACTCTCTGCAGCAAGAGCCACACCCATTGTTTATTCTCTGGCTTTGGTGAAATCAAAGGGGTGATAAAAAGTACGGTAAAAAAAAATAGTCAATATTTTTAAAAAACGTATTACCCTAAAAGATACCAAGTCTTTTCTCACAAAGTGAATGAGGAAGCTCCATGAGTGAATGGGAGTCTGGTCTTCCTTTAGCAGAGTAGAAGAATCCAGTAAAATGCTTCAGGAAGAGAGATCCCTTCCTCAATGAGGACTGCATTAAGAATTAAGAGTCAAAATAGTAAGTGATCAAGGCCAAGCACTTTAACCCTTTCCCTCTGGATTCCCTATTTTCTTTATAAAATTTCAGAAATGGTATTTTAATGTTTAAATGCTGTTTCCTTTCTTGCCTTCTGAATTTCCTGAGGCTAACGTAGATAGAACCCAGTGCCCTAGATCTATTCTTCTTGATGACCTTTTTCTTATTCATGAAGAATATCTGAATTTCCATTTACCTGACAATTTTATTGTTGAAAGTTATCCAGTTGACCTAAGCTTTGGTTCCTCAATTCTGTACAATAGGTTCTGAGTAAGAACATAGAAAGCAAGTTGTGCATTAAGTGTCCATTTAAACAGGTTGACTACATGCTAACAAAGAAAGATTTCAGTAGGCTGCCACCCTAGAACACTCAAAAGCCAAGAGAGTACAAGATTATTCTTTATGCCAAGAGCCAGAGACATTTTATCTCAAATAAGAGTTGAGATGTAAACCCTGACAAGGTAGTGATGTAACGTGGGCTGTGGGGCCTTTAGCAACTAGAGGGCCTAGGCTATTGGAGCCTTAAGGAACAAGAGAGATACCAAGAACCACTGACACCTACTTCTTACAGCTCCCATCCAAACCTCCTGGTACAGATATTGCACACCAAACACCTGGAAGGCCTTGAGGGTAGGCTTAACTGAGGGGAACAAATGAGAACAGCCCAATATGATACAGAGAGTCTGAGCTCCTCTAAAATAACGATACCTGCAAATAACCTCAAGACCCATCTCCATGGGCAGGACCTTCCATTCAATCCCTGCATCACTCCATCCTACTCCACACACATAAGCTGGCCGAGCAGGGTGACTTCTGTAGTAGTTTCTCTGGGCTCTGCTTCCTGCTGGGCTTTGCGGAAGGGAAGCTCCACATTAAAGCTGCATGTGAAGCTCCACAAGTGAGTTTCCTAGACCAACAGTTACTATATCTGAGAACTTGCTTCAAAAAGGAAACATTAACCAACTCACACCTCTGCATGGCCTCCTAAATCAGAAATCCAGGGGGACTAGCAATTTTGTATGCATAAGGTCTCAAGGAAATAACCAATACTCAATAAAATCCAAAATCCTGCTGTGGACCACAGTCCCCAAACCCTCAGGTAGCATTCCCTTGTGGGGCCCTCCTGCTCCCAACTCTCCATGGGGGTCATCATCTAGAGTCCCTTCTCTGGCCCTTGAGCATAGCAAGCCATGCATGTTCCCTGTGTAGTACCTGGCTGATGTCTTCATGGTGCCATGAAGCTTCAGTAGTATTCTGGGAATTGATCATCACTGTATTAACATGGGCAGCAAGGAAAGACAGACATTTTAAGCTTTGGGAAGGTCATATCCAGAATGAATTTATCTTTCCCCATACCACCTAGAGCACACTAAGAGTATTCAAACCTGTCCCCCCACGTTCTGACCTGAAAATCAGAGCTCTTCTCTTCACCCTGAGCCACCCACCCTATGAGAGAAGATGCTTAGGAAAAGTACCTACCCTGAGATGTGTTTGCGACCAGGATGCCCAGGGCCTAGGGATGACTTCTATCTACCCAGTGGTTCTACAGGTGTGGCTGTTCTGCTTGCTCAGCTTGTTGTGCTCACTCTTAGTAGAGAAGGGAGAGAGTAATGTGCTAAGGGACATTCGCTCATCTCTGGGCTTTAGCACAACAGTGAAATGGTGTCCCACAGCTGCCCGCAGATGTTCTGCCAAATATGATTAGTCTGTGTGAACATGAGTCCTCCTAACATAGGCAGCCTTGGAGTATTCTGAAGGAACATCTCCAGCTGACCTGCTCCACAAATGTTTTCGGAGGCCTATGTTTCAGCATGGAAACAGTGACAAGAACAAAACCTAGAAGCTAAAGGCCAATCCAAGTTCTTACCTATTATGGAGTAGGAGGTGATCAATGATTTGAAAATGGGTCTTGATTGCACAGACCAACTTTATTTTGTTAATTGATTTTCTCTCTGCAGGTTATTTTGTTTCTATTGATCTTAATATATTGACTCCTCCTTCAGTCTCCATCCTGCTTTGTCCATCATATGAGTTCTGCGATATCCACTTGGTTCCTTGTGGAGCCTTCCTATTTCTTTTATATTTTCTATCTTTCTACATATTCTAAGAATGTTCATAATTGTTATTTGTGGTATTTTAAAATCATATTATGATAACTCAAGCATCTCTACTTTGCCAGGGTTTACATCTCAACACTTATTTGAGATAAAATGTCTCTGGCTTTTGGTATAAAAAATAATCTTGCACCTTCTTGACTTTTGAATGTTCTAGGGTGGCATCCTACTGAAATATTTCATTGTTAGCATGTAGTCAACCTGTTTAAATGGACACTTAATGCACAACTTGAAAAGTATTTTATGCATTCTGAACATAAAGCTTCCTGCGGCCATGTCTTGGCCTTTCCCGCATGTTTCCCAGATGGCAAGACCCCTAGTCATCATGATAAAATTCATCCCCTCAACTCCAGCCTCCATGGGGATGAGGGATCACCTAGTTACTTCAGG